AAAAAATGTAAAAAAAAAAAAGATCTGACATTGATGGTTCAGATGATTACATATTAAAGACCACTGTCAAAAAAGCATGTATACTGGGCTTCCAATCAGCTGTCTAGTGCCTCAATCATAATAAATAATATACAACAAGTTATAATAAACATGTGAGGAGAAGGAAAATGCAATTTGGAGGAAATAAGAGATCAGAAACTCTTTTAAAACTACATACATATTTAATATTTAATATGAAAAAGTAGTGGACAGTGCAGAGTTGTAAAAATGCTGGGCCTAACCAAATACATAAAGTCTAGGCCGGTAGATGATTGGTTAAAGTCTTTTTTCCTATCTTCTCTTCTGGTCACTGGCAATCTAAAGATAAGATTAACAGGTAAGCTTGGATGTGCCTGTATCATTATCCAGGACTGATCAGCCTCCTTTTAGGAAGAAAGAAACCTAAGGTATTGGATTGCATAGTTTGCAAGGTGCAATTTTAATCAATGGTTGCCCTTCCTTCTTGAAACTTCCTTCTAAGATGAAAATGAAACTGAGGCTAAAGTCAAGCTCAGCTGATCTTCAAATCTTTTGGCTTCCTTAATCTCCTTTAATTATGGCTTCTAATATGAGAATGAAAAGGCCAGTTCCCTCATTTTTGTGGTAGATTAAATTCTTTTAGCAAAAGCCATTCACATTTGTGCTTCTAGGTTTTTATGTAACCTACTGTCCACCTGACCATGAAACCTGCATGCTAGCAATCTATTATGTAATTCACAGACCCTGATGAAGAAAATAACATTTTATAGATTAACTACATTTTCAATTAAACCTTATAGTCATTAATTCATATCTACAAGCTCTTGTAATCCTGAATTCTAAAGCACACCTTTATCTTATATGCATGCTATAGAATATACATACACTGGTATAAAAACAAACATTAGGGGGAGGCGTATAGCTCAGGGGTACAGTGTGTGCTTAGCATGCACAAGGTCCTGGGTTCAATCCCCAGTGCCACCATTAAAAAGTAAACAAACAAACCTAATTACCTCCCCACCGCAAAATGTAATAAGGGAAAAAAAGTTTTTTTTTTTTTAAAAAAACCCCATTAGTTTGATATGCAGAAAGCAATCGTGAAATAATTTAAATTGAATATCGTTAAGATGTACAGTTTTGAAATACACATTTTGGCTAGTGATTGTTTACCTGTTACTATTTATTAAACCTCAGATACATTATTTCATAGATGCTTTCCTCAGAGCAGTTTCCTCTATTTAATGATCAGAAAGAAACTCACAGGCATGCACATACCCACTTACACACCATCACATTAGCAATGTTAAATTCTACGCTGCTAAGAAAATTAAGAACACATAATAATACTTCCTTTGACTTCCCTCCTTTCTTAGGTCATCATTATTCTCTCCTCTGTTCCTTTCCTCCCTTCTTTCTGAGGAAGGACAGCAGGCTGAGTGAGCCTAATGCTCCATTTCTGTCACTTCTTGGCTTTGGGCTTCAGACAAGTAACAAACCCTTTGAGGCTCAAAATGGCAGGGAACACCTGTCTCTAATCTAGTTGTGTTAAGGAATAAATAAGCTTCAGCTGTTACATCCTCGACTTCCACCTTCACTATTATCATCCCACTTCTAACCTACAATGTGATCTTGGTAAATCACATATCCATTCCCTTCAAATCCAAAGAGTTACTCCCTGAAGTTATATCATCCTGCTAAAACTGCTCTCAGGCTGATTAATCTCCTTTCCTCAGTTCACTGTACTCTGCCTCTCTATTACAGGACAATCATAATACTATTCTCTTTCCCTTGATGTCATTGTCTGCTCTTTTGACTTTAATTATCGCCCTCATGTACATGATGTAAAAATCTCTATTTCTGTTTACCATCTCTTGTGAGTTCCCAAAAAGAATCCCCAGCTACCAATCAAATAGTTCCACCGGGTTTAGATCAGTAGTAGCTCCAGCTTAACATACACAAAAGAAAAATTATCTTACTCGCCTTTACTATCCCAATAGTATCGCTGTGTTCTTTACCTAAATAAACACACTACCATCTTTTCTAATGGTAAATCTTTAATCCTTCACTTTCACTCAAAACACCTGCTCCTATTTAACTCTGTGTCAACTTCTACTTATTTTGTTTCTGTTATTTCTCATTTTTTCTGCAGTCACTTGCACCGTTAATGCCCTAGTTTGAGACTCTTTCCATTCCAGCCTGAATTACATACAATAGCTAAAGTCTCTGCCTTTAATCTGTTCTCCCTCTTACTGTCCAACCACTGTATAATCTATCCTAATAGCCTTCACAATTCTAACCCGATCATTTGTTCTAACCCAATCTAACCCAAACATTTGTTTTCAGTATTCCTCTTCCTTCTTCCTCATCATAAGCTCAAATCACATAGAGCACCCATATTCCTTAAGTATCGCCATGTACTACAAGAACAAAGCTGTTTACTTGTTTATTATAAATTTGGCCACTGTCATACCATCTACTCACAGAATATTCTAGATTTTTCTTTATATTCTATTATGTTTTACCTGTCTCAACAATTCCCATTGGTGAAATCCATTTTTGTTCTTTGGTGACCTGCAGTAACTTATCAAATTCCAGAGTCATTACAGCTTTTTTAGATCACAACTTTACTACTGGTCTAGCCCTTACTTTTTTTAAGATTATTTTTTAGAACAGTTTTAGGTTCATGGCAAAAGTGGGCAGTAGGCAGACTTGCCATATACCCCTGTGCCCACACATGCACAGTGTTCCCCATTATTAACATTCTGCACCAGAGGGGTGCATTTGTTGTAACTGCTGAACCTATGCTGACACATCCTAATCACCTAGTCTACAGACTGCACTGTGATTCACAACTGGCCTTGTATATTCCATGGATTTGGACAGATGTATAATGACATGTATCCATCACTGTAGTATCACAAAGGATATTTCCACTGCCTTAAAAATCTTCTGTGTCTGCCTATTCACCCCACCTCTACTCCCACCCAACCCCTAGCAACCACTGATCTTTCACTGTCTCCATAGTTTTGCCTTTTCCAGAATGTCATATAGTTGGAATTATATAGTATGTAGCCTTTTCAGATTGGCTTCCTTTAATATTTTTTTCAAGTATATTATTTCCTTTGGAAAACTTGTATTATATTGGTTAACACAAGTCAAGAAAATATTTCAGATTTATAGGTCAGCTCTACTCACCAAGGGTTCGGCCATTACAACTTCAATTTTCTTTTCAGCTTGAACAGCAAATTCTGCAAAGAGGCTCTTGATGACATATTCACCAGGCTTGACATCTGGGTCAATCGTAATGCTTGACATGATGATATTCTTTTTCCCCAAAGTGGAATGAAAGTTGGAAGAAGCACAGTACTTATTCACTTTGCTGACTGGTGCTGAAGCTAAAAGTAAAAGAAACAAAAGAGGTCTACTTTAATAATCAGCTCAGTTAAAGCCAACCATAACCACCCTATTTAATGTGCATCTTGCCCCTAAACCCCATCCAGATTTCCCAATCTGTATTACCATACTCTGTTTTTTTTTCTACTACACTTACTGCCTTCTAACACACTGCCCAACATAACTATTATTTAGTTACATACTATGTTTATTACGTGCTGTTTTTCTCTTTACCCTACTATTGTGAATTCTATAAGAATAGAGATTCTCTCTTGTCTATTTTGTTCACTGATGAATCCCAAGTGCCTAGAACAATGCCTGGCATATACTAGGCATACAAAAAACAGATACTGAATGGATGAATTCTAAACAAAGTTCTGTGCAAGGAAGGAAATAAAACGTGAATAAATGAAACACAAATGGAGTAAAGAGGTTGAAATACACTACTTTGGAGAGGCTCAGGAAAGGCTTCCTCTGAAGAAACTACATTTGACCTCAGATTTAAATGATGAAGAAAGAGGAAACAAGGCAAAGCACCGGCACAGAAAGTGCAAAGTTGAGTGTGAACGAGAAACAAAAGGAGGACCCATGCAGCCGGAGCTCAAGAGAGGGAGCAGGGGTGAGAGCAATGTGACATGAGGTCAGAACTCTTAGTGAGGATCACAGTTTCAGAAGTTTGTAAGGAAATCAGATTCTATTCTCAATGTAATTAAAATTCATGATAAGTATTAACTTGGAGAGGGACAGGATGTGGCTTCTCTTTAAAAGACCTCTGGCTGCTCTGGAGAATGGACTGGAAGGGGCCAAATGCGGAATTGGGGAAGCATGAGGGAACCCAGGGGAGATGGTCCCAGCTTGGGCTAAGAGAATGGCAGCTGCACAGCAGAGGAGGAGAAGGACTCGAGATTTGTCAGATGTTAGTGGACCTGACATCGAGGTGAGGGGAAGGAATTTACGATGACTCATATGGCTTTTCTTGGAATCACTCAAAGCAGAGACAGGGATGACTCTGCGCCTGGCAAACAGTACATCGCACCAAGTATGGCCCAAAAAGAACTCACATCAGTGCTTGCTGTTTATCTTCACCTGCTCTGTTCTCTTGACTGCCTGGGTTTTATCTATAGTTTAATCCAGTCGCCCGATCCTCCAGGTTGTTGTATAATACAGAACTTCCCATTCTTTAACTTCAACTTTCAACATCCCCTTTGGCCTAGAATATTCACAGAGAACCCTCCAGAATGTACTTCTCTTCCTCAACATCAACTCCAGACACTGTCCTTTCAATACGCTGTCCTATCAACAACGCCCTCCTTGAAACAGGAAGCAAAACACAATTTTTCAAACACTGAAATTTCTGTCCATGTGCATGTGTGTATGTAACCATAGGACAAGAAATTTATTCTAAATAAACACATTCTCAACACATTCTCACATAAAAGGAATTGTTCTGTCAACAACCACAGTAATAAGAAAGCCTACATACCAAACATAGTATATGTCAAGATATCTAAAGGTGACTGTGGTAACTCCAAAAGAAAATTCTAGAAAGTAATACCAAGTCACGTTATAGCAGCCACTTCAGAAAAATAATCTACAAATTAAAAAAAATAAATATCTTTGAAAGACAGAACTTCCAAATACCAAAGAATGGCTTCCTTTCATGTCCTACTCATTATCTTCATTTATTTACTTATTTTTGCACAGAATATTTTCCTCCAAGGTTAAGATTAAAAATTAGTCCCATGTGATGCTTATATATTTAAAGCAATAATAAAGAAAATTATAAACTGTTAATATTGCATCTAAAATAAATCTTTGTATCCCATAAAATTAAAATACAGTATGTGTTGTATTCTAGAATGAAAATTATATAAGAACAATTCAAAACAAAAATTCACAGTCCTTTGAACACAGTACACACTATTTATTTTAAACAATGACTTGTTTGTTTACTCTGTTTCATGATCCAACATTGTGTATTATAAAGGAGAGAATGTGTTAACAAATGTCATTGTGGGAAAAGGAGATCTTAAATTTAAAAAATTTATTTTGGATCATTAAGAATACTCTATATTTTATATCCACATCATATTGGATAACCCTAAGGAATCATAAAATAGTGGGAAAAAAAAAAAGGCTACTCAGATAGTTTCCAGAATTTTAATTTACATTTTAGAGACAAAAATGAAGATGAAACATTTTTAAGATTTTGATTTGTCATGGTAGACACAAAACATATCTTTTCCTTTAATTAAGTTTCATAAGATCATAAGAGAGTTACAAAGTTTCTTTGGCTTTAACTTTACAATAAATGTTTTAAACAAGAAGCCTATATTAGACCTTGGTACTTGAATTATAGACTTTGATGAGGTATAAACTTAATGACATTTTAGCCTTTAAAGTCTCCTCAAAGAAATAAAGAAAGAAAAGGAAGAAATTTTAGTTCAAATGATCTCTCAAATAACTCACCCTTACTGTCTTCTACTTCCTAAAAAGCATAAACATAAATTAAGCATAAACAAATAGTCCTAGGTATCAAAATTGTGTATTTTAAGAAATTTGCCAATAAAGCCCAAAGTTTTAGGGAAATCTGTACTCATCTTCCAAATGAAGATTTATCTTCCAAATATCTATATTGTCTTCCAAAATAAAAATACTTCAAGTTTAAAAACATCAAATTTTTATGAAAGTTACTTTTTCAGAGTTAATCTCTTTTACCTCCATCCACAAAGCTCTAATAAAATCCATTAGAAAAAGACCCACACCCCCAAACTGAAAACTGGACAAAGGACATGAAGAAACAAGCTACAAAAGATAAAACAGAAGAAGCCAATAACTATGAAAATAATATTTAACCTTACTAACATTTTAAAAATAAATAAAAATTAGATAACATTTTCATTTATCAAAGTAGTTTCCTCCAATTATATATTTCACTATAATGTTCACCTTTGGTAAAGATATGTGAATTTTTCTCATATTCTGCTAATAGTTAAGAAAAAGGGATGGTTACTCTAAGCAAGGTGAGAAGGCTAGTTTCCACATAACTAGATTAACTTGATGTCACTTGACTGCTTGAGTTAAATATTTTATCAGGTTAAGTATTACTATTTCTCTACACGCTATTAAAATTTTTTGAAAATTTTATGTAAGCCCATGACAGAAAAAGACATAATTGTTGAGTGTAACTCTTAAGAACACAATTCAGGCACTGAATTACAACTTGTAGAAAAACTAATGTCATAGTAAACATCCTTGGAATATAAATTTATTAAACTCTAACTGATAATAAAAAGAGTAAATCAAGACCTGAACAAACAACATATAAAATTAAAATAAAATTAAAAAATTAAAAGTGAGCATGTCTACTCTTTCTCTTCGATAAGATGCAAATGAAAAATAAATAAGGTATTTTTAGACGGCTGACTCTCTCTATAGTACTATACTTAGCATATTTCATAAAACAATGATCTTTTTCATGCTTGTAAGACTCTTATACCCTTACAGGATAAATTTAAATTCAATCAAAGGGAACAGACAAGTGAGAAGAGACACAGAACCCCTAAACTGATGCATGTTTGGTTTCACTACTTTAGAGCAACATGTCTCAGCTTTTTCTGCCTCTACTATATTCTTACACACCACACTCTAAACATAACATCCCTCAAAATACACAGTGACTCTCAATGACCGAGGTGTTTCAGATGATGGATGGGAAGGATAAGGGTGGGTGGATGTAGTCTAAAAAGACCCCAGTGGAGTCTGTGAAAGCTGCCTGCAGCACCCTCACCCCCAAGGACAGGTCTTTAGGGATAGAAGTTACTACACTGTAGTCACAACTTTATATATGGACATGCGTATTACACACACACATTTATGTAGAGATTTATATAATAAAGGTAACAAAATACCACACAATTGCTTCCTATTATAATAACTATTACTTATATTGGCTAATAATAAACATGTTGATGATGACCTAGGAAAGAAAAGGTATAAGGTAAATGGTCTTTGAATAAGAAAAAAAGTCAAAAATATCTCTGAATTTTAAAAGCAAAAGCAAAATTCTTAGTTTAAAAAGCAAGCCTATCCTAGCAAGTTACTTGTGGCTATCAACAAACTGCTTCTGAAGTTTATGTGAAGAGGCAAATGACCTGGAATAGCCAACACAACATTGAAGGAGAACAAAGTTGGAGGACTTACACTACCCAACTTCGAGACTTACTTTAAAGCTACAGTAATCAAGACAGTGTGGTACTGGTTAAAGAATCCATAAATAGATCAGTGGAACAGAACAGAGAACCCAGGAATAGACCCGCACAAATGCAGTCAACTGAAAATGATCTGTGACGGGGTAGCAAAGGCAATTCATAGAAAAAGGAGACCTTTCAACAAATGGTGCTGGAATGACTGAAAAAAAATGATTGCAAAAAAAAAAAATCTAGACACAACCTATGCCTTTTACAAAAAACTAATTCAAAATAAATCATAAACTAACTCAAAAATAAATAAGAATCTAGGCACAGAGCTTACATCTTTTATAAAAACTAACTCAAAATAAATCAATAGATCTAAATGTAAAATGCAAAACTACAAATTTCCACACTATAAGAAGGAGAAAATCAAAGAGTTCTTGGGCTTGGCAAGGACTTTATAGATCCAACATCAAAATCAAAATCCATGAAAGAAAAATTGATAAACTGAGCTTTATTAAAATTAATAACTTCAGATTTGTACATGTTAGCCACTATATATTAAAATATATTTGAAAAAACAAATTTCTTCTGCATAGCACAGGGAACTATATTCAGTATCTTATAATAACCTTTAATGAAAAAGAATATGAAAATGAATACATATGTATGTATATGCATGACTGGGACATTGCACAGTACACCAGAAATTTACACATTGTAACTGACTATACATCAATAAAAAAATAAATAAATAAAATAAAAACAAAAAAATTTAATAACTTCAGCTCTGCAAAAGACAGTTAAGAGAATGAAAAGATGGACTGGGAGAAAATCTTTGCAAAACACATATATGATAAAGAACTGTTATCCAATATATATAAATAATTCTTAAAACTCAATAAGCAAATAAACAATCTAATTTTAAAATGGGCAAAATATTTGACTACACTCTTCACCAAAGAAGGCATATTGGTGACAAATACGCATATGAAAAGATGCTCCACATCATATGTCTACAGAAAAATGCAAATTAAGACAACAATAAGATACCATTACAGCTATTAGAACAACCAAAACTCGTAACACTGACAGCAATAAGTGCTGGTGAGAATGTGAACAACAGGAATTCTTAGTCATCACTGGTGGGTATGTAAAAGGGAAGACAGTTTGAAGGTTTCTTACAAAACGAAATATATTCTTACCACACAAGACAGCAACTGTGCTCTTTGGTATTTATCCAAAGGAAATGAAAACATCCACACAAAAACCTGCACACAGATGTTTACAGCAGCTTTATTCATAATTGCCAAAACTTGGAAGCAACTAACATGTCCTTCAGTAGGTGAATGGATAAACAAACTGTGGTACATCCAGACACTGAAATATTATTCAGTGCTAAAATGAAATGAATTATCTAGCCATGAAAAGACTTGAAGGGAACCTAACTGCATATT